TGACTTCCTATTCAAGTTCAATAGAAACTATGGACCTATCTCTGCCAGTTTTGGAGATAAAAGGGAAGCAAAATTTGCAAAGTTCAGTTCATGGTGAAAAGTAGGTCAAAGGTCAATTTTAAGGTCACATGTAGATTGCCAGTATATGACTTCCTATTCAACTGTCCACTGGTATTGTCAATGAAGTGCATTGGTTTTCATTTGCAGGTACAGCAAACAATTGGGGAAAAACACTGCAACAAGGCATCAGATACCATTAGTCCGGGCATTTGCAATTACAATTCACAAGAGCCAGGGGATTACTTTGGACAGTGCTGTTATTGATGCAAGGTGTGCCTTTAAACATGGTCAGGTGAGTGTGGCAGTCGGCCGGGTCAGGAAACCGGAAGATGTACAACTGGTGAACTACAATTCTCACAAGTGCCCAGTCCCTCCAATTGAAATAGTACAGTTTTATGAGACATTTGATACAGTTGGTGTTCTACCAGGTGAGGATTTATCTTGCTGTAGAGTTGAATACAAAGTATGTGAGACACCCTTAATACCATTAGCACCTATCATAGAAGAGCTAGATAAGGGAGAAGAATGGGAGGAAGAAGACGAAGAGCACTTCTATCGATCTGTGGAAGAATTTTTAACTGAAGATGTGGCTGATGTGCAGCCATTGCCACATGAGTTGCAGATTGACCCCCCCATTGACACTGAAGCAATTCTAAATAGTATCTGTGTGCCAAATCCAGAGACAAAGCAACAGGCTGACTTGAATGCTGCTGTAGACACAATTTCACTCACTCCTGAATTAGAAGTTTTTGTGAAGAAAGTCTGGTATAACATTCACAATGCTTATGAAGAAACATGTTCACATGTTCAAACAACGTCCCATTTTACAGCTTTTTTTTTCAAAAATCCACAAATACATTACTGGACACAATTACATGCAGTCTACATTGAATGTTGCTCAAAGCGATAGTGAACGTCGGGTGTGCAGTCTGGTTGTTGATGCCCTTCGACAAGAATACTTGAAAAGGAAATCTGCAGGGTTGGACAAGCCATCCACAAGTGAAAGTGGCAATATTACAAATATGTCTGTAGAGGGGGCAGGTGCTGTTCGTTATTTGGCTGGAAGAACAATAGCAAAACTTCGTAAAAAATGGATAAAGAAAATCACCAGGGATATGTATAGTAAAAAGGTTCAACTGCAGACATCAGATCTACGTTTGATAGTAACCATGTTACGACATCTAGAAGAAAAATATGAAGTCCTGCGAGAAAAGTCTGCATATCAGACATCTTTGCAGTCAATTGAAAGAAGGCAGTATGCTGGTGGTGGACTAGCCCATGTGCGTGACAGTGTTTTTGAATTTTTTTATTGCCCTTGAGATGGACAGGAAGAGGATTCAAAATACACAGCTGTTTCATGAATCTGGAGCAAATGTCTTACAACACTCTGTTCAGTTATTGTTGCATAACAAAGAACTCTTAGCACATTGGACTTCACTTTTTGTGGACTATCAGTTAGTTGAAGTGCATGCTGATTATGAAGTCCACAGTTCTCTTCTTACCAATTTTGACATTGTAAGAGATGTACTAGAATCTGTCATTAAGAAATCAACATTGCTGTGTGATCTGTTTCACCAAGTGGTCACTGCCTACATGATGGTAGCAAACAATGCATACCGTAAAGAGATTATTCAGGAATTAGGAAAGAAAAAAACTCTCCAACTTCGTCATGCTATCTTCCAGAAGAAGAAGGAAGCAGCACAGAAAGCCAAAAAAACTGAAGTCACAATGGAAGACATGCGTAGCGACATTTCCAAAGGTAAAGTTCACACACTTTCTCGACTTAAGGCACTGCTGGTGCTGGATCCTGACCTTTTTGCTACTAATCGCTGGAAACGGAAAGAACTGTTGACATTGGCTAAAGCTTGTGGGCTTCCGTACACTAATAGAATGACTGTCAGGCAGTTACAAGAACTGTTGAGCAAGGAAATTCCTTCATTGGTGGAGGTGCCTTATGAGGAGCTGATGGATGATGACTATGAACCTCCCTCCAAGAAAGCTAAATCTGCAACTGGCAAAGGGAAGGGAAAGGGCAAAGGGAAAGGCAAAAGCTCTTCTGTACCAGTTGTGGCTGAAGCGTCAGGTAGCAACATACAATCTGAACAGGAAGAGGATTTTTGCTATAAGTGCAGAAGTGACCATGAGGGGACTTGGGTGCAATGCGACTCATGTGACAAATGGTTTCATTCTAAATGTGCCAAACTGACAGAACAAACTTACCAACAACTTATAGACAATGAAGCTAAATGGTTTTGTGATGCCTGTGAGGAAACCAGTTCATAGTTCAATGAATTTGAAAACAAATCAAGTGAACATCCATTTACAGAAGTCTAGGCCTTTTTGCACGGAATGGCTGTTTCACATGCATTTTATATGGAAGTGCAGAGTAGCCAGCTTTTGAGCAAGACTGGACGTTACACTTTTTTGACTGAGCCCCCTGGTTTATAATGATGGTATTCACAGCCTTGCAGTACTGCAAATAGGTCGGATTGGCATTGGCCCCATTGCACATAGCCCTTTGTGAAGAAAAGAAATTTTCTACCAGGTCAGAGTTCAATCGGGCTGGAACAACATAAGTGGAAGGGAATCTCAGCAATTTGTTGTCAACATAAGAAATAAATCCTAAAATAGATGATGACAAATCATCCCTGGTTTGATGGGAGAAGAGGTGCTTCTGGTCGTTTGTATTTGTCACCCATTTCTCGAACCAATCCCATACGGATCTTAATGTGGCCAGACGTTCATCCCCTCTGTCCTTTATTGGTCTGAGGTCATGTATGATTGAGATAAATTTACTTGTCTGTTCAAGTAAAGCAATTGTGCCTCTTAAATCTGTTGGGACAACCTTTGAGTATGCCTGAAAATATAAAAACAGCTCTGCTACAGTTACTGGTTGTGCTCATAATTCGCGCGACAATCCGTATGCGTATACTACATGTACGTATTAACTGTGTACTGACGCCCCCTGAGAGACAATGGGTTGTTTTGATAAACGACAAAAGCCTGTGCGGGTAGCAAACAATAGCGACGTGGACTCATACAGGGCCTAAGCGCACAGGGGGAGGAGCGCATATGTAAATTTTTGTACGGGTGATCCTTGGAGACCGGAGTTCGTCCTCGCCAAGCGCGGCAGGGTGTTAATTGATGCGCGCTATAATCCGACTTAATGAACGCCTTTTAACATCGCGGTATTGCACTGTGCTTTAGGCTGAATGCCCACATCCCCACCGTGTTCTCTTGGATTGATGCTTGCTCCCTTCTTAAAACCGGGGACTGGGCTTCATGAATTTGATGCGGTGATTATTTTCGGTAGATTCTAAAATGGATTTATCAACATCGTTTTTTTTTTTTTTTGTGGACCCTTATTGTTAATAGTGATTTCATAACACTAATGTACTTTGGACTTATTCGTTATCGTAGATGTTATAGCCCCGAACATTGGAAAGGGGTTAGCATGCAATTTACAGAAATTGACAAGGCGTCTTTTAGAGCGTATCCATTGATTTTTAGCAGCTTACACGTCATGTTGTAGACAGCAAAATTGATACCTATATAAATCTTAGTAACTGCATTGTTGCGTGGCCATAAGCTATGCTGGTTATATTAATATCGTTAAAGGTTGTCAACACACCACCACATTCAACACTTAATATAATAATTTAATTTCTAATAATTTAAATCTTATCACGTTAACTGATAACATTTATTTTCAATACACAATCGTTTAAGTTGCCAAAGGTCACTCGGCAGGGTTGGTGCACTAGTATACCCAGTACCAGTAGGTTTATAATGCTACACATGGAATTAAAAATATTATTTACTTTTTTTCTTTCAGACGAGTGCACTGTCCAGATGGACTCGAATGGAAGATACGTTTTTCGAAGAGTGTTGCGTGACGCAGATGGCAATGACATTAGTGAGCCCCCTCCCTTACGACCGAGACCCAAACATCCATACAAAATTCATGTTTGGGCAGGTAAGTTGCAAACCTGAGCACTGTTGTGAAAAGAGCGGTGTCTTAGAAAAGCTGAATGACGCCTGTAAAATTTAATTTGATCACGAAACTTTATTTGTGTACATTCTTTCATATTTGTGTACGTTCTTCATATGCTTTCAGCATTTTTTGAACAGTAATATTATTGCGTGTTGCAATCATGGTAAACAGCCTAGGAACCAAATTGAAATATACTGTACATGTGGTATTTTACAGGTATTTCCAAGAGGGGAGCCACTGAAATTGCTCTTTTCACCGGCACCATGGATAGCGTGAGGTACCAAGACATCTTAGAAGCTGCCCTTTTGCCATTTATCAGACAGAGGTAAGGGCGAAATTAGGTAGCCTATATGACGACAATATTTTAGTCCTGGCTTGCATTCTTTTAGGTTCCCACTAGGACATCGATTTTTGCGCTTTTTGACGACAGCGGAATGCCAAGACATCTTAGAAGCTGCCCATTAATTACATTCACACTGTCCAGAGCTGCAACAATATACTGGTAGCTGGTATTGGTTAGCTTAGTGATGAAAAGGTGTAGTATTCATAAATGTGTTAAAACTACTTTCCCTTTGCGAGAGAAACACAATTAACAATTTCTCTATTTAAATAATTGCGGTTCACTCACTGATAAAGCTAAATCACGATATCAATACGATGTATGCATAAATATTAAGTAGATCGCTCCTCTGTTACTTTTACGTAATTTTTTACGTAATCTTTTACGAGAGTCTGTGTAACAGAAAGTCCGCTTATATTTAGTTACAAAGAGCAGGTTAGCCTGATCTAAGTGAGACAAAATCTCAGGCAAGGCTTACTGGTAAATGTACATAAAAATGGGAAGCAGACTCTCTGTCAAGTTACATCGGGACCGTATGTGTCAAATGAATTTCATGATTGCTCAAATAGTACATCTGGAACTTAAGGCATAAGCCGACCTTAAAAGTGAAAGTTACTTAGATCTCTTACCTGTTCGCTCTTGCAATATATCCCTTAATTGCAAAGAGTTCATTTCACGGTTGTTGGTCATCTCAAGATTAACAATGGCGCTATGTTCATCTGTAAACTGAGCTCTTCTTCCTGATCTCGGACGATCAGCAAGACCGTGTCCCTCTTCGAACCTTTGTAGGAAACGGTATATTGTACTTCGGTAGCAAGACACGTTTTCGTCAGCCAACTGCCGTTGAATATCCCCTATGCTTACTCCATTTTCCCGTAAAACCACGATANCCGGAGCCGGCGGAACATACGGGTCGGGACTAAAACCATGTGTACCGCCAGCGCCTACGCTGGTGGTACAACAAGCCAGTAATGCTGCACTCATGCAGTAAAGTCTGACTAATTTCCCTGATACCATTTCATACAAATGGAACCTTGTTAACTATATATACAGCTCTGATTTTTAATGTGAATGTTTTAATAGTCAATAAGTGCATTCTCAATTATTTTCAGTTTCCTTTTTTCTATTTTAGCAACTTTCAATATTATTTCCTTCTTCAGTAAAAAAATAAAAATAATATTCAAAGCGGAAAGCTTTACAACCTTTAAAATAAAAATAATTGCTCCACAAATATGCTTCAAAAGTGTAAAATCACCTGTAATATTGCAGCGGATGACTAGCTTTAAACTGGTTGAGGGATACTCTGGGTGCAGTCACTGCATTCACCCTCAAGCCTTGCTCATCTCTCACCCTCGCCAAGAACTTATTGGCATCGTCCTGGTCCTCGCAGATAAAGGCACGCATGTCATTGAAACTGACATGACCTTCCACATACTTTGCATATCTTGGATCCTTCATGTTCAACTGCAATTCAATTTCAAATTCAAAATTACCAAGAGCCGACCATTCTTTAAAATTAACCACTATACTTCCTTCTTAAAATGTGGTAATATTAATCCAGTATGTTTTAGAATTCCTTTACCTCTATTTCTACAATGTACATAACATTAGGGTGGAATTTTATATTAAGATATGAGTAATAGCATGTAAAACAAAACTGAACAGGGGAAAATAACTAAAGAATAATTTCACCGTTTGAGAATAAATTACACTTACTGTCACTATCATGGGTTCGTGGATGACTCCATTGAACTCGTGTCTGTTACTTCGTAACCACATAACAGCCTCGTATGTGTGTCTGTGCCTCTGCTGCAACACCAACAGCCTTCTATTACTGACATCTTGTAGCTGGTTTAGAACATCTTGCTTTCCTAAAAAATTAAACGAAACATAGATGATTTAACACAACATAACATTAGTTTTAAAATGGAAAAACAATGGTTGCCAGGCTTTGAAAAATGTCCTTTATTCAACAAAAGTTCTACTAACAAAGGTTACTTATATGACTAATATGCCCAAATAATAGTCACTGTAGGGTGGTCATATTATAGAGATTCAGCATTATCCTTACAGTCTAAGCTCTGCTGGTCCAAAATACTATTATATTGGTAAATACATGTACTTAACAGTACCTACCCCGAATATCACCTCTCAATTGATCAAGCTCCATTTTAACAGCACTTCCCCGATGTGATGCCTGAGTCATACTTCGACTAGTATCTTGCATGTCTTTGCTGACACGTTCTATAGCAGGCTACAAATATACAGAATAACACTTAGTTTTTTTCCTCTTGAGACTAAATTTGTCTACATGATACCAACAAATCTAGCATAAATAGTGAACATGTTTTGAGTCAAAGAGAAATTATTGAGAATGGGTCTTGAAATATACACAATTTTAAATGAGACATTGCATATACTGTGAGAGGGCGAAAATGCAGTTCAGTGCACAAATCTGGTTTATTAAACCTGGTAATTTGCAAAACAATCAACAATGACTTGTAGGAGTCATCTCACAGTATTTTCTCTTATAATTAAGCTACATTACTAAAAACTGGCAAAACTACAAAAAAAAGTTATGTAGACAACTTCATTCATTTCTACAGAACCTGTACATCCTCTTCATCCCCCACATTATCATACTCTGCCTGAATAGCATCTAGCTGAGCATGGAGATTTTTAACTCTGTAACATAAATCAATACCATTAAATATCAGCAGAGTTATAATAACCTGATTACAAACTATCTATTAAAAGACAAGTTTATTTTACTTTTTATTGGGATCCATCTATATAAACATGTCATTGGAAAAAAACTTCATTACCAGCATTTGTCTTGCATACCTTTTTTGTCTCGACTGTTCTTGGCTTCTTTTGGCATTGAGGTCATCCTGAATTTCTTGCATCTATAATTATGATTACATTAAGTATGAAAATCAGTAGTTTTTATAATATAGAAAGCACTGATAGAAGAAACAACCAAGTCTAGATAACAAGTTGTAACACCCAGCAAATCTGATCTTTTTTTTACTTTCTTGAAGAAGAATATTTTCTAAAAAGCAATAAAAAAGATGTTTTCCTACCTTATCTGTCTCATTCTCTATGTTCTTGCTTTTGTTTGCAGCCTGCTTTGCATGCTCTTTAATTACATTGTACTAATAAAAGAGAAATGCAATCATATAACATATTAATGGTAAATATAACAGTGCTCATGACTATGCATATCTACTGATTTTTTTCAAATGATATATCCATTCTGATTAGCATACTTGAAACAAAACTCTACTTTTTATCATATTAAGACAGAAAGACTATATTAATACTAGAAAGACACAAAGAAAACTTTAAATCAAGCAAACCTTTATCATACCTTTTCCTTCATAAGTACATTAATTTCCTCCACCTTTTTCTCTGCATCATTCAGTTTGGCTTGCATGGGTGCATAGGCAGCTCTTGCTTTTTTCAGGTGTTCTTCTATAACATGTTTTCTCTCTTTTTCTTTAGTAAATTGAGAACGTTTTTCCTCATACTCCTACAAAACACATAAAAACATTTTTGATATAAAAAATGGGCAAATGATGTAACAAAGAATCAATACATTTGTGATCACCTTTATTAAATTGAAACTGTCAACAAATGACAATAAAAGCTCTTTAAACCATGCAGTTAGGCTCAGCCTGCACTAAATGAAATTATTCCACTTATAATACTTACCACCCAGGGTCTTTTCTTCTGTAACAGCTCTATCTTCTGTCTGTACCTCTCTCTTTGTTGGTATTGCTGGACATCTCCTTCTAGCCGGCTGTTTTTTTGAACAGCATCCTCATAATGCTCTATGACACTGTTTGCCCTTGCCTCAAGCTGCTTGGACTCCTGTCTGGCCATCTTCAACTTTTGGTGATTTTCATACATGTTTTCTGGACCAGCCTAAATAAAACCAACCAAACTTTATAAAAGCTGTGGTCCAGCTTACAAAATTAGTCTCATCAAAATTTCTTCTCATCCTTCACTTGACAGCTTTTTTTAGCCAATCCCAAATTGACTACATGTGGATCATGATCTGGTGACATTTGGATATTAAATTTAACAAAATTTGGACCTATAATTCTGAATCAAAAAGATACCAGGGAATTCTCTTAAACTATTTCCTTTCGATTTAATTGTCTCTTACAATAAATTACTCCATATTTCAATGGGTTATTCACTTCAAAAGATGATTACTTTCAAACAAACAATATCCTCCACAATTCCGGATATCCATCTGAAGTCTATATACTTCACAACAATAAGAGTAAATTTCCTAGTGATTGGTTGCTTAGATAGGGAGATATAGCTGAAACTGATTTACCAATCTTGTCACTCAAGCTGTAAAAAGGGCCAAAAACATTCACCCAGATTAACAGAGCTTATTAGTTGATGACTTGATGTAAAAAAGAAAAAAAATTAGAATAACCAATGACATCACTTAGTGACAGTCACTGAAATTATGTACTGTGCAAAACACTGTAGACGGGCTGCTCAAAACCAGTCATGACCGGCCATGTGTACAGGCATGGGGGTCTAAGAATCTCTAACTAACACACTGAGTAAACAACATGCATAGCTTCTTAAGTGAGTATGTCAAGTAACCAATAACCTAAAAAGTGAAATGTTCATTTTAAATTATTTAGATATTAGGCACTCTAAACCTAATTTTAAGGGGCATTTGTTGTAATTTTGCACCCTTAGAGGTGCAGCATGCTTCAAAATGAGGGATGATGTTGGCAATGGGGGAAGGACGCAATGCCACAGCCCAGATGCAACACTTCCCCTTATCAAGTAATTACATCCACCTTAAAGAAAGAGCTTAAAGTGGGAAAATGCACATTTTGGGGGGTAAGTTTGCTGGGGACAGGGAAACTGAATCCCACATGATGTTACATACAAATGGCAAATAAATACTCACTGCTTTTTCTGTGTTCTCCAGTAATTCCTGCTTGGTCATCCTAGCAAACTCACCCACTTTCTCTTGAGGTAAAAATTGACAAAGATTACCCACTTGGATTTTCAAACGACTTGCCAGCTCCTCAACCTACAATCTCAGAAACAAAACAAAAAGCAATACAGAAAAAGTTTCTTAAACAAAACAATAGTTCTCAGATTCAGAAAAAAAATTATATGAAGAACAACCATCCAGCAATTAACTTTACAAACAAATTTACAAACAAGTGCTTGCATGAAGGTCAAATATTAGTATGTGACAAAGGGAAAAAATAGCAAAGTACATGCATGCAGTCACAACAAACAGCATAAAATTTAAAATATTTATCTGATCAGAACCACTTTTAAACTTAACATTCCTTTTTCATACTACTGTCAGTCTAAAGCAAAATGGATATTCATTTTAAGAAATTTTGAAAGTTGCACTAACAGCTCCAATGACATTAACAGACATGACTACATGGTACATACAAAAGTGCATGGGTATAAATATCATACACATTCAAATATCGTGGTTGCATTTTATCATCGTTTTATAAATCAACCTACAGCTTTCTGTGTTGCCTGTCTTCCATTCACTGACCAATCACTCTTGTTTTTGCTTATTTCACGACGAATCACATAATTTTCACCATCTGGATTGTGTCTGAAAATTAAATGCAGAGAACATCTAAAACAGTTACAAATGGCAGCAAGCTAGCTTCACCTTAATTGTCATGCACATGTAATATCAAAAAAATCAAACTTGTTTTGAAAAAAAATCAAATCAATTAAAATTTGCTGTTTTATAAAATTATATAATGCACAGCAACTGTCACTTTGACTAGGTGTGACACTGGGCAGTGACACATATAAACTATTTATATGGTGAAAAATACAATGGCATAATTTACCCCTTCAAGTATAGTCTGTATGGCACAGAGTTTCAAGTTCAACTCTTTAAAATACTTTTGTCTGAAAGTAGCTGATTATCACTTAACTTCTCAAGGGAATAATACTCACAGCTCAAGTTCAATGATGGCCCTCTGACAGCCATACTTAATGTACCCGGCAGAATTAGGGGCACGGTTAAGGACACTTGGTTTCCCTGCAACCCCCAGACATATAGCACACACCAAAGTGGACTTCCCTGTGCCATTGGGACCTATGATAACATTGAGGTGAGGACCTGGGCGGAATTCTACAACATCATAAGTGCTAGAATAAAATTAAAAGGAGTTACACTTCATTGTCAAGCAGGTTTTTTCTTCTTCTTTGTTCTTTAAGTTATCTGTAAACCCATCTCTATCAAAAACCATAATATTTGCAAATTGCAATCATATTTTGTTAAACATTATGACCCAATTCCCACAGACACCATCAATCTACATAGATCAATCTAACTCGGAAGAAACTCGCACTGAGTGCAATTTGCTTATATGAGTGACAAGTCTCCTTTTGTTTCAAAAATACTCATATAATCACCAGTTTTTCTGTAATCCACTTAATGCCAGGAGGCTGTGTCATTAAGTTTAGTTGCACTCAGTGAGAGTCCCCGTTGGATCAATCTACTTAGACCAATGGTGTCTATGGAAACAGGACCTAATAATGATTTGTTAAGTAGTGTATGTAGGCATAGTAATTAACATGAATGGCACCATTTCTAGACACCAATTACAGTGCCCATTCAAAACTCCACTCTTTGCAGTTGTGTGTGATCAAAAGCACATTCTCCTCACAGAAAATAATGGACAACTATGCTGCCTGTTTGTTTAAAAATCTTTATCTGGATTTCTTACAGATTTTGATGAGTGTGGAAAATACTTTTGTTTTTACACATACAATAAGAATAGAATGTTTACAGAGAATAGAAAGTCATCAGCCCTTTCTTTTAATTTTGATAGCAACAACTTCCACCTAAATAGATAAACTTGATATTTACATGGGTTCAGAACATGTTCCTGAGGGTCGCGCAAGCAAATATAATTGCATTTATCACACGGGGTTTGAATGGCCGCAGTGAATAACAGTTCCACCGGCTTTTAAAAGAGGAAAACTAACAAAAACGGTCCAGAACATATTCAATTTGAATGTGATACAATATTCTGTCAAAAGAAAGGTTAATTTATACACCCGTTTTTCATTATAGATGACATATTGCCTGGCAGTTTTAAACACAATGCTGACTGTAAAGCTGATGAGATGGCATAACGAAAGTCTATGCATGGGCAGTCACTTTTGATCATGGCATGTACAAGGAAATGAAAACTAGGAAAAGAAATTGCATATCATACACAAAGTTTTCTAGCTTCACCCGAACTATAGACCCTTCTCCAAATCCCTCGCTTCCGTCCCGCTGCGTTTCGCCTTGTCTTTGGTTTGTTCTAGCTTTTGGTTTTGCCATTTTTTTCGCGCTGCACGAAATCTCGCAGTGTCACGTTTGAGTTTTAATGGGGGAGGGACGATGAAATTTTATCTCAACATTTTAAGTTTTATCAATTTGATTCTTGGCATGGATGTTACGAAAATAAGAAATAAAATACCATCAGATATATATGTTAAAAATTCCCGAAAGATGAGAAAATATGATTACAACACTCGTACAATATTTTTTTTTTCTGAACCATCTCCCCAAAAACACTGAATGTAAACAAACCAAGATGGTGGATCTGGCTGTCGGCACGTCAGCTGCCAAATGATATAGATATTTGCTTTGAACAGACACAGAAGAAAAGAAATCAAGATGAATGTGGTTCTGGCTGTGAAGCAGTATGTCACCAAGATGGTTGATGACAGTGGGCAGGGCATGAAGGTGCTACTGATGGACAAGGAAACGGTAAATATATATATATAATATTACAAAGCAGAATCTGAGGAAGTATTTGATTTATAATATATACTATATTCTAATGAGTCGTCTGTATGATGAGAAAACATCACAAGCACAGTGCTTGTTCGTTGGATCAAAACAATTTATACAATGATATATTAAAAGTTAACTTCCAATTTTCCAATCAGTTCGTTATTGATGGAAAATAGATTTAATGCAATGTATAGTCTCTTTTTTATTTCTTCAGACAAGCATTGTGAGCATGGTTTATGCCCAGTCAGAGATCTTACAGAAGGAGGTGTACCTGTTCGAGAGGATTGACTCTAGTGCAAGAGAAACAATGAAACATCTAAAATGTGTATGCTTTTTGCGGCCCACAAAAGAAAATGTTGACCTTCTTCAACAAGAGCTACGGTCACCAAAATATGGATTATATTTTATTTGTAAGTAACATAAATGGTGAGCATTGAGCATGAAAGGACCAACATATTCTATTCCAAATTTGTACATTTAAATATAGTATGCCCTTGGACTGAGACATTTCCGTTTTTATGTTTAACTTAGTAATTCCCTTAGAGTAAGAGCATTAAAATCAGTTGTTTCATTTCAGTAATTGGATATTTAGGATTATCACAATCCAGCTGAAACTTCATTTCAGATTTTTCAAATGTGATAAGTAGGCAGGATGTCAAGGTATTAGCTGAAGCAGATGACCAGGAAGTTGTAAGAGAAGTCCAGGTAAATGTTTTGATGTTAGCATACATTAGAAAGATTACTCAGTAGTTTAACTGCTGACAAATGTCAAACTTGTTTGATATTAGTTGTGAACATTTGTTTGATCATAAAGTGCACCTGAGTTATTATCAGTTGTTTTCACCAGTAATTTAGGTGAGTTAACTTAGGTCACCAGTACTCTGAAGATAATAATGATGAAATGGTGTCATTGCTGTGAGAGAAAAATTGGGTTTAAAATAAGTCTGATGGTGTCTTCGTGTTATACAGTTCAGATTTTGCCAGTGCAGATAAAACTGATGGAAATTATTTGTCTCTCTACTAGTATATGCATCTTTTTTTTTCATTAATCTAGGAATTCTATGGCGACTATGTAGCAGTCAGTCCACACTTATTTTCTTTCAACATAGTAGGCCATTGTCAGGTAAGATCTTCCTCCAGTTATCAATTATAAAGGTGTTCATGTCATTACTGTGATATGCATTCTATCAGAAGAATAACACAGTGCAAATTTCATTGTAAGACATAACTTTCATTTATTTTTTTATTTATTTTAGGGTGGAGGAGAGCTGTTTAGATTGTTTGATAATCAGAATAGCCCTTGACCTGCTTGTTCTCATCTCATTTTTTATTTTCATTAACAACTTTTTTGGTTGTTTGATTATCAAGTGACTTCTTCTACAGGGCAACAACTGGGTGACCCCAGCTCTGACCCGCAGTGTCCAAGGCCTGACTGCAGTGTTGCTATCTTTAAAGAAATGTCCCATGATACGCTTCCAGAATTCTTCTGAGATGGCGAGGAGAATGGCAGACAATGTTAGGGTGAGTGTCTTGATTACATTACATCATTTGACTGCAAATTAAAAAGAAGCTGTATAAATGAACTTTTTAATCAGGAATAAGTTATTAAAGGAAATTAAACATTAGTTTAACTGACTGTGATAACATTAGTGATTTTATACTTTTTACAGCAAGTGATATCAAAAGAAGCTTCTTTGTTTGACTTTCGAAGGACAGACGTCCCACCAGTTTTACTCATATTAGACAGAAGGGATGATCCAGTCACTCCACTGCTAAATCAGGCAAGTGCATGGAAATTTATATTTTGTAACATAAAGCACCCATGATAGGTATGTATGGCTACTTGGCTATGGCTATGATTTCCTGGAATTAAGTGATAACCATGACCCAACAGACTGATCATCTGTTTTCTGTTCTAGTGGACGTACCAGGCCATGGTCCATGAACTCCTAGAAATAAGCAACAACCGTATTAGCTTGGCCTCAGTCCCAGGCATAAGTAAAGAATTGAAGGAAGTGGTGCTCTCTGCTGAACATGATGAATTTTATGCCAATGTGAGAACAAGTTGTGCTTTGATTTGGCAATGAGTTTTAAATGAAGCAGTTGCTTTGTTATGATCAAAGAGGGATCTTTTGGTAAAGATAACTTTTGTCGGGTAACTTTTTTTGCATTGATAAGTTTGTTTTAAAGTGTGAATTGTAGTCTTGCTCTAAGAATTAAGGAAATGTTTATAGAAGTTCTAGTTACAATGTTGATTTTTTCACATTTGAGTGAGATTTTGACAAATATGTCTTTGTAGAATATGTATGCCAATTTTGGTGAAATAGGAGTTAATATCAAAACCCTAATGGAAGAGTTCCAGAAGAAATCTCAGGGCCAGTCAAAAGTGGAATCCATACAAGACATGAAGGTTTGTTCTTTACCAGACATTGTGAATCCAGTGTTTTAATGTCCTTTTATAACTTACAGCAAAGTCATGAGATCAGAAGCGATACGATATACATATTATATGTAAGTTGTTTAAGATGTGGAAGATGGAAATGGGAAAAGTAGTTTCAGAGATTTGATAATATTTTGACAAGTCTTCTATTCCTTTTCTTTTTTTTAGGCATTTTTGGAAAACTATCCCCAGTTTAAGAAAATGTCTGGCACGGTTTCCAAGCATGTGACAGTAGTAGGTGAATTGAGTAGACTTGTTGGTGCTCACAATTTATTGGAAGTATCTGAGACTGAACAGGAACTGGTCTGTCAAGGTGATCACTCACTGGCACTTCAGGTAAGCATGGTGATTGAATTCAACCTTAAATTTCTGCTGATAGCTCAGAGTTTTAATTCAAGTGCTGGTTCTACCTTTCATGAAACTGAGATGCTTAATTTGTTTGAAAAATCCCATTGTTGGAAGACTTACACAGCAATTACATATTTCTGAATTAGAGTCTGATTTGGTGCTTTTCAGAAAAAAACATTGTCCATTTCATTTTCAGAAAATCCGCTCACTTTTAGCCAATGACAATGTGAGAGATATTGATAAACTGAGGCTGGTGATGTTGTATGCTCTTCGGTTTGAAAAACACAGCAACAATGATGTGACAGGACTGGCAGATGCACTGGCAAAGAAAGGAGTGAGTGAAAAGTTGAGAAGGGTAAGACTTTTTCACAACAGGAATATGTATGTTGAAAAAAATCTAATTTTAGTATCTGAAAAAAGAGGTATGTTAGTTTATGAGACAATATGTAAATTATATATATATAGTTTAAAGAACATGAATGTCAAATTGAAGAAGATGTGGAATGTAAAAAATGTTTATGAGATAATATGTAAATTATATATATATATATATATAGTTTAAAGAACATGAATGTAAAATTAAAGATGTGGAATGTGAAAAATGTTCACTTCTCAACGTTAGATGGTTGGTGCAGTGGTGGATTATGCAGGCAGTCGTGTTAGATCCAGTGATTTGTTTGGGAGTAAAGATGCCATTACTTTTACAAAGAAATTTTTTAAAGGTCTCAAGGTAAGTTTAGAGTTGTAAGTTGTGACATGATGTAAGAGATAGTAGGAGTTGGTCAAAGATTTGTTTATTGTGATTTCATACTCGTTTCTGGTAGTTTTTGTATATATTCACTTTTTGTTCTCTGTATGTAGTTATAATTGTGTACAAGTAAGATGATGTAAACTAATCTAAAGTGTACTACAAGAGCGGTGATTTTTTTCCAAGGGTGTGGAAAATGTATATACACAACACAATACCCTCCTCCAAGAACTCCTTGACCAGTTGATCAAAGGCAGACTTAAGGAGGCCAGTTACCCATATGTTGGACAAGCACAGTTGAGGGACAGGTAGGAATTAACCATAGAAAATTAATGTTATAATTAATCAAGCCATTATTTTATATTCATTAATTCTTTTAAATAGTCTTTTGTGTGATTACTGGTATTCTTTTTTGTTTCTGCAAGTTGTGAAGGGAGATAGAGAAGTTTGGTGTAGTCGAATGGCATTGTATGGTGACAACAATCTCCAGAGCTTATTTACTCATGCGCATTCCGCATATGCTCAATTCTCTGTAGTGGGATAGTCTCAATTGAGGTACATGTTGCTACTTATATCAAGGGAGTGTCAGTGCTTTACCGCATTGTGTGCTTGATTAATTTTATTGGCACGCACAATACAATTAAGCAAGAAGTTCTTCCCAGCTTTTAACTTCAATGTTCAGTTCAGCATATTTCATCCACAAATGAAATGAATGCAAAATTGTTTGTTGCTGACTCATTACATCATAATTTTTAGGGTAATGAAAAGTATTGAATATTTGATATGTATTTTTTACTCTAAGGCCTTAACATTTTATACAGGCAACAATTTGTTAAATTGTTAAAATGATTAGGATAGCAGGGTTATATAATAAAAGCGGACTTGTTTGGCCAAATCTCGAACAACCGATATTCTTTGTTGCCTTCTTTATTGGTGGGAATGGAACTATGAAAATCTGTGGTACACTGCGATGGAGCAGACAAAGTCATTTTTTCATTTTCTGATAGACAGTCAAACAGATAGTGTAGGTATATGCTTGTGTATTGTATCAAAATTATTTACATTTTTTAACAGTTTAAAAAATGAATATTTTTCAGGCCACAAGATATCATTGTGTTCATGATAGGTGGTGCTACATATGAAGAGGCCTTGGCTGTGCATAACATGAACAAAACCATTCCAGGAGTCAGAATAGTCCTTGGAGGCACCCACATACACAACATGAAGAGGTACCCATTTGCTTTCTTTCCCTTGAAATGTGATTTTCCAGCATGGGATTTTTAAGCTAATTATATGGTGGAGTTTTAGACATTTATTAGCAAGAATTTGGTTATGTGATGCAGTGAATGCTGTAGCATTTAATTGAATAAAACCACTAGTATATGTAGGGAACATAATGCTTCATGTTCAATTGAAGTTATTTAAATTCCAGTCTTGTACTCGTTGTACCCATTTTATTGTTGTAATAAACTATTTGCTTTTTCAGATTATTCAGGACAGTAAAGGAATTTTTGTTGCTACATGAATAGCCATCATTCTTAAGTTTGGTGGTAAATATTAAACCTCACCAGAAAAGAATAATATTTGGTAGTGCAATATTTATTTTGAACACTTTATTTTTCAGCTTTCTAGATGAGATTACCCATGCTACTTCTGGTGTATCAAGGCATACTTCTGGCAGGAGGTGGTAAAAGGAAACACTACAGAAGCACTTATAAGGAGGATATGGAAAATATGGAGAGATAGAAAGATAAAGCATGAAGGGATAATCAGTACAAGAAACAACAAAATGTGAAACATACATGGATGTCAATCATCCAGTATGAATGAACTGGAATGTATTTTATGTGCAATATTATATCTAAAATATGATATACTGGGATACAAGAAATATACAAGAAATATAGCTCTGTGTCCTTTTCAAGCCAACAATTTTATTAATATTGGCACAGATTTTGTTAAATGTAAGAAGTGGTTGATAGGTGAAATACTTGTTATACATGTAGTCTCTTTGAGAAAATTTGATGTGTATTTTAATGAAAAATATTGTGGATTTCATCCTTTTCTATCCGAGGTGTTGGATCTACATCTTACTGGTTTATTCTACAGATTAAAAAAAAAACAAACACTTATTTGCAGCTCTACAGATTTATTTGAATGTATGTAATGACTAGATAAAAAATATATAAAATCATGCACTATTATGTACTGTTCTGCATACAAGTAAAAGGCTTGTACATACTAAAAAATCAACTTCAAAAATATCTGGTATAATGACTATGTACATTGGGCTATCCTGCCACTAACAATACTAAACAATTTTATATTAGTAAAATATATTTAAAAAAAAAACAGCAGCTGCTCAAAGATAAAAAAAAAGAACTGTGAAATCTTCAAGTTAAAATTCTACGTGTCGCATAGCATCAAAAGTGAATTACCCATTGGCTCTGGGATGATCTTTGGAAGATTTATATTCATTTAAAAAACTTAAACTGAACCCTGCAGCACCAGAATTACTAGTGAATTAATATACTTAATAAGCTTAATTGTTTATTAACTGCTTGACTAATCATTAGTCTATTACCTGCTTTACTAAACCTTAGTCTTGGACTATAGCCTATTACCTTACCTTACATTCTAGAATTGTACTTGATGAGTATCTTTTATGCGGTTCAACAAGTTTTAGTCTACATTAACTACAAATTACACTGTGCACATCTCAATAACCATGGCCTGCATTACAAATTATTATATCCATTGAAAACAATAAAATGTGTTACACGCAAATAAACGACGTTTACATAACATCTAAAATTCTTCTGACAATTAGCCATGACCTACTACCATGAGAACGTATCACTGCTAACAAAGAAAAGTTTTCAGAATGATAATCAATGAGATCTTTCATATTCTAATTTAATCTTCTTGACACCCCTTGAATATTTTCTTTCTTTGAATGATTAACAAGAACTGTTACCCTTAGTTTGACAGGCACAGAGAAGGTACAAAAAATTTCACCAATAGTGACCTTGACAATACTTATAAATAGTTATTTCAAACAACCATTTCAATAAACCAAGCTGACCTTACCAATTAATGACCTTACTAATTATATCCATGAATGGTGAAATAGTGTCACAACATGTCAACAAAAAGAAATGCTTCAAAACTTAGTCCTGTTGACCACAGTACACTAAGTAATTTTTGATAAAAAATTATATTCCCATTATAAACGTGCCAAATTCACATAAATTAAACACATAAAATAAGAACTTGGCTTATTATATCTTTAATTTAAACTATTAATTGATGCATGAATGATATTTATTACCATAAAGAAAACGGCACATATTGTGTGAGTATCATTGCTGAAATATTTAGCATAAATATATTTGTTAAATATGCAATTGAAGTCTACAGTAGAGTTAAAACCTTTATCAAAATTGAACTTGAGACTCTTCTCTTCTAAGCAGAGGCCTTGTTTTTGTGTGTGTATCATCTGAATTTTTTATAATCTGCACTTATGCTGAAATTACTGAGTATCTATCAAACATAAAGCACCAAAAATATACTGAGAATTCTACAGAGAATATATATCTCTTTGCAAAGGTCTATATGCTGCATAAAAATTGCATCATGCTCTTATAAATGTCTTAGGCAAGTCTGATATTATATATTTTGGTCTAATAACACTTCTAATCTTGGCAACTGGCTTAAGAAAACTATGTTTCATCCCAGTGTGAGATTCTCAAACCTCCTTTAAAACACAGTGACCTTGTCCTCTATTTCAATGACAGGCGGTGGTCTTGGCTGCTGTGAGAGGGGAGTGTAGGAGCCCACAGGATACATTTCATCCTCCTGTTCTTCAGCTCTTTGGTGTGTGTCTGGGACTATTAAGGCACCAAGTTTCAGCTGACACTAAGTAAAAGAATTGACTCATAAGATCATAATAATAAAATTGGATGTTGCTAATAAAATCGCAAGTAAAATATAGGGATTTTTTTTTCAATATGAAGGCTGATATTTTTAAGGTAGAACCTCTTCCTCTTCTCTTTCTATAGCAAATTTGTTGATAAATTATTTTGTACCATGTTTTGCAATGATAGTAAAATTACATAAAAAAATTATCAATGTCAATTAAACAAAGATTTTAATTTGACTACATAAGAAGTTATTTCACATCCACTACCAAAAACTGTACATATATGAATACTTAGGTAATGTAGTCAGAATTGCCATTAATGAAAAATTTAGACTTCTTTGATGAGCTGATGCAGACTATATCATGTTTGATGTATACCTGACAACAAGTCCCAGGTGCTGTAATTAAGCTGTGGAAAAGTCCAACTGGCACACCAATTAATGGGATCCAAGAAATGGCTGTACCTACACCACAAATCCAGTCTGGCATCTCCCTCAGACCAAGAAGTTCACAGGGGTGTTCAAAAAAACCTGACCCTTCCATAGTAGCCATATAATTTGCTGTCTGTAAATACAAAACTAAATTTAAGGTGCTGTTTAAGTTTAACTATACATTGGGTAGAAGCCTCTGGAAATTAATTCTATTATCATCAACATTTTACTTTTTATAGACCAAATAATACTAAATAACTTCACACCTGGTGAAATTAAACATGTAGTTTAGTAATAAAAATAAATAACTGTTTGAAGATTATCAACTTACTGCCAGAGCAATGAATGCCATGATAAACCATGAACCAATTACAGTGCGTGACCATACTGGAAGATCTAATTGTACTGAAATAATCATTAAAAAGTTTATAAAAACTACACTAAGTAACCGAATTAAAGATACACATGCAACCATTAATTTAGCATTAATACATCTTGAAGTTTATGCTAAAACTAGAAAAGTTAAAATTCTTGTCTCTTACTCTTCACAACATCTTGCACTATACAACACGTGCCAGTATTTAATTCAACATCTACATTTTGGTTTCCATAATATGGCCTGCATCAAATATTTCTTTTCTAAAACATCTCCTTGATTAACACATACACATTTATTTCATTGAAGTCATATGGGTCAAAACTATCATCCCAGTTTAATTCTTATATTTAATAATTCAGTGTTTATCTTGGCCAAAAAAGCATTTTAAAAAAATACTAATTTTTAAAAGTATATACTAAAATTGCATACCATATGCAACAGCAATTCCTATATTTAGGAATATAAAATAAGTTAGAAGAGGTGCAGTGGAATATAAGAAAGGCATCAATTCAAAGTACAAATATGAGCCAGCCTGAAAAGACATTAATTGTAAGACCTGACAAAGTTAACAAAACTGATACATGTGTACCATACTACAATGACATAATCCCTTATATTAATAATAAGATTGTTTTACATAAATAATAAGATTGTTTTAAAAGAATGAACATAATCAAAGAAAAGTAGAATCTTCACTCTAACAGCAAAGTTGCCTTTAATTTTCTCATAAGATAATTCTCAAACAAAACAGTTTCTTAATGGACTTTTTAAACAACATACTTACTCTTGTTGAGAACACCAAAGAGAGGCATGCAGTTACAGTGCAAAATATGCCAGTAATCAGAATTCTCCACAACATTGGATGTGGTCTCAGCCATGTGCCTAATGCTTCCATGACATGGTCCAATATGACCACTACAACCAACACCTAATGGGAATAATAAATCGGTCTATATATAAAATTAAAACAAATACTAGCCAGGAAACAAAATTATTAACTTTTTGACTGACCTCACATTTTTCTGCATCACATTGTTAAAAAAAAAGAAAACAAAGTGACAAAATAAATGTGTCAGAGAGTTTAAGTACATGGCTAAACCAAATGCATACAAGTCAAACTTAAATGGTTTTATGGTTGTGATTTAAAAAATCATCAAATCAGCAAGCATTCAAGTTCTTCCAGAAATTTTTTCAATCTAACACTTAATTCTGTCTTGTGACATGATCTTGCTCATGCCAAGAGTAAATTTCCATGTGATCATGACTCATCCTGTACAGTACTTGACAACCGATATCCGCCCATAAATATTTTGGGAATAGTTTTAAAAGGATTCAAATTCTTTAAACTATGTTCAAGACTTTTAATCCCCCTAGCAGTCATGAGAAGTTAATTGTATAAAATTGCAGCACTTCAACTTGGGTTGTAATTTTCTTAACAGTTCACTATTCCTACTTTCAAACATATTTTAATGAAAATATATAATGACACACATTGATATTAAGATTAATCTTGTTTATCTTTATTTACTTAAGACAAGTATATTTTCAGCAACACCTTCACATAAACACAGGCCCGTAGCTATGGGGAGGGGGGTTGAACCCCTCTTTTTGCCAGGAAAAGGTTTCCTCTGAGTAAAATTTCGTCCAGGTGCATGAAGATTTCATGGTAAAAGGTCCCCTTTTTCAGAAAAAGACCCCCCCCCCTCCTCTTTTGAAATTGCTGGCTACAGGCCTGTAAATTCAGAAAATATTAAATTTTCATATGAAGACAAAAAAGACATTTTCAAAAATTGACAAAAATTCATATATGTAAATAAAACCTGACCCATAAGATACATACAAATCCAATCAAACCAAACAGTGTGATGGTGGCATAGGTCAAGACAGCAATCACATTGGGCACCCGGAGTCCAGTGAAAATTTCGGGCAGTAAAATGAAGAGTAGAGCATCTAGAAAAATGAAAATTAATTTCATTAATAATTAATTTTCATGAGCTGCAATTATTAACAAATATAAAATCAAATTTTGAAGACCCAAACCCAAAAGATTGCAATTAAAATAAATAGGTATTTTTAAATGAACTTATGTATTAAAATAATAATAGCCATGCACACTATAGCAATAATATACAAAAAAAGTTTAACAGTTTTAAAAAACTAACAAAATAATACAATTTCCAAACTAACAGTTTCTGATAGTTAAGTCAGTTATAGCAAGGCCTTTGTTATCAAAAACTACTATGTGTATAACTACTTTGTCCAAAACTATAGTTTCTGTGTCTAAAACTTTTCTATCTACTGTGTCTACTAAAACTGCTGTCTACTGTCTATAAAAAAGAAATTAATACTATATAAGTCTGATGTACACCTCCTGATACATCTCCTATATGGATATCACGTACTGGGACACCAAATTGAGACACATATGCGGCAAGGTATGGAGCATAAAAAGCTAAAATAAAAAAAATACAGAAATGAAACATAGCTATTTGAATGTATACATTAACTGAATAGTCACGACCAGACATACATTTCAAAACACTTCTGCTATAAAAGATGTTAATGAGGAGAAAATAAAGAAATAATTCTGACATATGTTAAGAATATAACGTACCTTGACATATCATTTCTTACCAAATAAAGCAAAAGTGCCAATTAGTTACCATGTCTTACAAAGTTCACAACTCAAAACAGCATTATTTATTCATACTGTTACGCCACAATGAGCTGGTCAAAATGTACAGAGATCATAATAATAAGTGCACACCCCAAAAGCTGCTTGCAAAACTTCATAATATTTTTTTCTATGGGTACTTTATAGGAAAATAACATGTGACAAAAGCTGTTTTTTTACAATGAATAAAACTCATAAATTAGACAACTTACCATAAATATTGTGGGGTAATACAAGCATTATACCAATAAAAACTACCCATAAACTGAAAAGAAAAATGCAGATGCAAATCATAATCAGGCTTTAATCTTGCTAACCTATTATATTTTCAACATAAAATACCACACAACATGTCTGTGATTTCATTCAACTCAATGAAAACAATGACCGGTAAAGTTTTATCACTTAAAACAGATAATAGAGGGAAAACTATCTAAGTGTAACACAATGGCAAACACATATAATGTGAGGGCATGGCTAAATCAATAACTGAAAAAAATTTTAAAAACTTACAAGTAAAGAGGACACTCTGATTTGGTCCCAAACCCAACATATTTCCCCAAGGTGGAGATGGTGCCACAGGTGAAGTACAGTAAAGAAAAGGTATTCCACACAGCAGTTGTCACCATCTACAGATACAAAATGAAATGTGTTCATAAAATGAAAGCAGATACATGACAGATACTAAAATAAGGGAAGCTGGTGATTACCTTCAGCTGAAAAGCATAGATGGTAAACATTAGCTGTTTGAAAGGTAGCAGCTTCTACTTATTACCAAAAGAAATAAAAATCAGCCACAAAGCTGTTAAATGTACAGACATCAAAGCAAATAGTGATGCACAACATAGGTTAATTATCAATTATGATGTAATTTTACATGATGTTTAACAGCAAAATCATAAAAACAGGTAACACAAGAAATATGAAAGTAGCATAGGCCTTCAACAAATTTTATAAAGTTTTGTCCCATTAGACCTTAAAATATAAGTCAAAGGTCAAATCCAATGTCATATTCCAAATTTCCACATATTTTTTTGTCAGACTTCCATAATAACTTTTCCCATAATTCCTTTGGTTTTGAAGATATTTAGCATTATATTTTCAAAATATGCTAATAGAAACAAGAAAACAGCAAAGCTTTAGAAAAAATGGTCCGATTGAGCGGAATTTCAAACTTGACCTTTACCATATGAATATTCATATATTCTGTAAACTTGAAGACAAAGGTCAAACAGTTTTTACTTATTGAGTTATCTCAGAAAGTGCATAGTGATGACAATGACAACAGACACAGGTGATGGCTATATGTACAGACACAGTGCATCTGTACATAAAAAAGATTACATTATAATCAAATCAAAATCAAAACAATACTCATACCTTAAAAAATAGTCCACTATTGCGCTCTGCATCTATTACTGAAGAAGGCTGCCTGTAGCTTTGATTTACAAACCTCCATGTCTCTCCAGCATCAAAAGTCAGATGGCCATAGGAGAGCACCACGAAGAACATGATCACAACCACTGGTCCAATGACATACATTATCTGATAGAGAACATTATAATTATAATTATAAACATGTTCAATTTCAAAAAATCTTAAATCTTAAACCTTAAATCTTATTCCCATTTTAAAAGGAAAAGATGCATGGCAAAAAAATGCAATATTTTGTTTACTTTTTTTAACAGAATGACAATAAATTCCCATTTAGACTGCCATGTCTTCCTCTTTGTTTCAGAAAGAAATATTGGCTTCAGGTACTTTTATTTGAAGGGTTTTATTATTTTTAAAGTCCAAATTGGAAAAGATAAATTACTTTGTAGAATATATGTAGATACAGGAAACATTTATAAACATGTAGAGTATAAGTTAAGGTTTAGAATCATTTTGTGTAGAGAGCAAAGATTTACCTTGCCAAATGCTGATACTCCAAAGCAGGATCCCAAGAAAACCAGGAACCACACTGCAATCAGTGAGACTGCCACAGGCCATGAAACACCTCCCAAACCCACCTCATTCAGTGACCCTACTGGGCCTTGTTCAAGAACAAAATTACTGCAATAGAATTATCATATTGCAACTTAACAACAAAATTGAGTTTTTTCACCAGTGTCTCTACTTCTAATTCCTCATTCACTAAAATTTTTAAAAATTTCCAGCTGAAGATTCTATGTCCTTGAACCTTTGGACTTACCTAAAGTATTCACTAGCAGGTGAGTGATCCACTCGTGGAAAATCAGTGAATTCAAAAGTTACATTATAATAGCTGTATGGGTACACTTCCTCCAAACTGCCAAAATTGTCTAGCACTGTTAAATTCAACTCCAATAAGCTGAAAAAAACCAGAAATTGATACAATTGAGAAGATTAATTGTATAGAATTCTGGCAGGCTTTTAGAACAAACAGGTTATCTCTTTGACTTTAAGGTATTTGTAGACTAAGTATGTTCATTCCCCTTGTGCATCCAGCCTGTGAGTCACTTGGTAAGTAATCACTAAGTCCACCAGTTGCTCACACATTTTTGAACTAATAATAAACTCACTGACTCCTTCAATAATGCTTGCTAAACAATTTGGTATAATGTTTAGGCCAATTTGATGACATTGTTCCACTGATTGAGAAAAGCAAAAATGTATCATTTTAGTTTCTCTTTTGAAGTGTACAGTATATACAGGTAATTAAATGGTTTTACTAGAGCATTAACCTAGTTCATCTTATTTTCAGCACATGGCTATTAATAGTAGTTTATTTTCTGTTACTGTATGGCAACGTATAAGTACACAATGCATGATAAAATGCACAAAAGTGTACACAGAGCTTATATCTTATATTACACATGTACATACAGCGAAAACGCTTTATAAATAAAATCTTTAACAACTTCCAGAGGACCTTCACATAGCTCATGTATGCTGTTAAAGTTGAGCAACTCATACTGCTCTCTTATTAGTTGTTTAGTCAGAGAATATCCAATCAGTGCATGCTCCTCTGTTTGCACTCACTTCATGACATTAAAGGCAGAGTACTTTATTTTTTTCTATACATTCTGATTTTGATCATGAAAATATCATAATTGTACTATGAAAGTTCAATTATTCTTCAAATGCAAGCAGTATTCATCGGTGAAAACCAACAATATTACTGAATGTATATAGCTATGTTTTTGGTGACTTCAAAGCAACTTTAACAACAAAGATCTATGCACAGTTAAAAATGTCACCAAAGATTACAACTTACCTTGGGATAGTTGTTGTTGTTACTTTTTCCTTAACAGCAACAAGCTCTTTGCAGTTTGGAGTGTTCCATATATTACTACACTTCTCCCAAGGATATGGAGATACAAGGGAGGCAAATGTGTAATACAGAGATGCTCCCATTGTTGATGAATCAAATAGCAATACTAGATATTGCCATATCAGGAAAGATATGCCAAAACCTGAACACAGAAGCAAACCAATATACTAGTAATATGATAATATATATATATATATATATATACCCTTAGTTAGATGGTATCAGTTTCTTTACATGAGAATAAAGCAAAACTGAACCAGTTCATAGATGTCTAATTCCCTTGGGCATCATTCAAGAGGCTCTTAGTGACTGAGGAAAGGTCATCGTGTTGTATGTTTAGAGAAAAGCCATTACGGAAAACTGTTTTATCTTCAAAGATCAGTGCTAAAGAGGAAGTTGAAAAGAACAACTTCACATTCAAACACTAGATTAATCATGAAAAATGTTCCTTTTTTAACCAATTCTACATTAGGTTTCCTACTACCTTTTTTATTTCATATTTTCATTAAAAAGAGAAAGAATTACTTTATATGATGCTTCACATAGAGTAATTTCTTCTCTGAAAAGCTTCTTAAGGGTTTACCTTTGAATAATGGAAAATACTGGCCTATGCTTCCCACCACTCCTTTTCCAGTTTTGGCCCCAAGTTGTAGTTGAACCAGAAGTATGGGAACCATGACAACTAGGAGACAGAGAACTGAACTGACCCAGTAAGTCACAGAGGCTGGAATAACAAAATACTTATACAAATAAGGTCAAATAACCATTAAATTCAAATAAAATTTCCAATCAATTCTTTCATGAATTTTTTAAAATATTAAACTTATCAGAGAGCCTTTAACCTACTAAATTCACTTTGATAAAGATGCATTTTAAGAAACAGAATATGATGTGTAAAAATGTGTCTTTTTTGATATTGGTATACAAACAAAAATAATTCACAGTATTGTCATTAAAATTTTTTTTTCGTCCATTTTACTATCACCTTGTTTGACTTTAAAAACACTTGCTTTAATATCTAGATGAAGTAAATAATAATAAAACCTGAAAACATGACTTAAACATTAATGCAGGATCAATCAAGTCTGGCCTCTTTGCAACCTCACAAACAAAATTTGTGCAAAATTGTTTGTAAATAATAACTTATGCTGACTTGTTACATCATAATTTTTAGGATGATGAGTCTTATTGAATATTTGATATACATTTTTTTTATCCCTAAGGCCATAACATTTAATACAGGCAATTTGTTACATCGTTAAAATTTTTAAAATGAATAGGATAGTGGGGTTATATAATAAAAGTGGCCTTGTTTCGCCAAATCGATATTCTTTGTTGCCTTCTTTCTTGATGTGAATGGACAATGAAAATTTGGGGTACACTGGGATGGAGGAGACATAAACATTTAGAGGCATGGGGACAAGGCATTGATAAAAGGCACTCTATGAAACAAATTTTGATTGGGTTTTTTACACTTTTCCCCTTTAAGTCCTCCCGTAAACTCAACTTATTTATTCACATATATTTCAATACAAAATTTTCCCCCTTACCATTTCACTTTTCTTTCATAATACATAAACAGATATGAATTAGAAAGGACAGAAAATACTGAAATTCTTCATACCTCCAAATAAAAGAATGCTGTTGGGCACCCCGTAAAAACTTCTCAAACCAACAACAGAGAGGGATGCCAGCCCCATCTGAACAAGATTCCACGATGCCTTGGGTTCAGCCATTTCCATCACCCAGCAGTATACAGCTTACATGTATCCACTAGCCTGCTCCTTTGGCTGACAAAAGTTTTTATGGCTGAAAAAAACATTGTAGGAATTTTTCATAGTACTTGAAACAAACAAAAAATATGTGCTTTGATGACTAATTCAGAATCTACTAATAAATGGTAATTTAATATTAGAAGCCACACCAAAATCTCAATGTCTACAATTTCCATAAAAATTGCACCACTCAGTATAACTGTTTTACAAACTCTATGCTCCCATAACTTCAAGACCAAAGTATCCATCTGACCAGAGGCAAGTTTGCAGCATAACCCTGCATGCAGCTGTCAGTTCACCCTTAAATAAACTGTAAACCAGAAAAAATATGCCTAACAGTTTAACTTCACACATAGATCATGTCCCTCCCTGTCAATTGTTTTACCCTATAAATCTCAACTAAAATGATCCTAGGCAATGAGAATGTCATTATATCAACCTATGTCAGAATACTTTAATAAATAGCACAACTTAGAGAAACATTTGTTTCAGATTAAATGCCTAATCAACTCTCAAGAGTTTACAGTAATTGCATTTTTTTTCCCAGAAGCAGTTTCTGCTTGCAGGTTTTTAGGTCATTCCATATTTGCTTTTTCCCTCATACTCAAGGTAACTCATAAACCTCCTTTAACCAGAAATGCTTGCCAAAAGTAATTTAAGTCATGTTTGGAACACATTTAAACATGTGTGTGATGAAGTGGGAAAAAAACACTAGCTGATTATTATTCATAAATGCATACTAGCAGCAAGTTATTAATGATAGGTATTGTCAGAAAACCACCACAATATATGTTCCTTTTCAGGTATAAATGAGTGACCAGTCTTAAATTTGTTGTGAATCTACGTCGATGAAATACCGAGTAACATCCAATAAAACAACATTACAAACATGAAAGATAATTAGGGTTTTTTCTGCATTAAGAATTAGAAGTACTGTGGAGCAGCCATATACATGTTAATAAGAATCAACTGCAAATTAAAACTTGTAACCTTTTTCTCTTCCACCGTTTCTACATAATCCAGCCAATCAAGCTTGCATAATGGGTCTGCACTCTGCAGGTTAACCACATGTAACACTAATGCCTTTACTGGACTCATTCTAACATTGTAAATTTAAGCCAAATGCTTTGCATAGGCTAATTTGGCTAGGCGAAAAATTAAAACTTTCTGTTTTAGTCAATGTTATCAAACTATCCAGTCAGCCTAAGGAAATTTTGAAGAAAAAAAGGTTATAATAGAGAATGAAATAATAATATCAAAATGTGAATAATTGGACTGGATTCAAGTGGATATTGCGCAATCTAGTCTCAGTTCAAGAACACTTGCTGCCACAGGAAACATGAAGGATGTATGTGATGATAAAGATAAGAGTCACTTGTTTATTAAAACATCACATAAAAAACAAGAATTTCTTTGTACAACAGCGTTTAAAACTCATGTGTTGTTACATGAAAATACAAAAGGTACTTTCAAATGTGCTTTCCCAGCAATGGCAGCAGGGTGCATGATGGGCCTTTCTTCAACTTTATCAAAAATATTTATTTGATTCTGAAATTTTGAACAAGGTGACAGGATATCTTTATGACTCCCTTTCCAACCAATCCTGCAGCACACAGCATACTGTCCCCATTCTTCATGGGGTAATAATGGAGAGCACTATTCATCCAAATCACAGTATTCTACTACCTGCAGAGATATAACAAGTTAAGGATCATAGAACAAAGTGTTGAAAAGCAAGAACTGATAGTATTTGTTCTCAATCTTTAAAAAAAAGAGATCAAAAGACAAAACTAAATGCCTTTTATCAAATAGTATATTTTTTCAAATACATTTAATGAATGAATAACAATTCTGATTAGCATTACATATCTTAAGTACATCATCAATTTCATTTTTATACTAGATAACAGAAGTCCGTCCCAAAAAACTGGTGTAAATGGTCGTAAATAACATGACCCTCTAGTGTTGATACATAAAACCTGAGAATCAATATCAGTTTATTGGGTCCCAGATTAAACCAACCTTCACTCTATCAAATGAGTAATTGTGAAAAGCATGCACAGTACCAAATTTAAACATCAAATCTTTAAAACAATCTATTCTAGTCCAGTATTCTATTCCACTCAGCAACCTTTCAGACATGTGCTCTTCTGGAAATGATTGATAGGTTTTTGACAACTTTAACAAGATGAAATGGCTGGGGGAAAGGTATCCATCCAACAAAATATTTTCTGACTGATATGCTGCCTGATATGATGCTGGCCTAAAGGTATACATTCTTACCTGAACAGACACCATATCAATGGTCTTTTGCACCAGCATCTTGTATTTTCAACTCTACTCACTATAAAATACACTGACATCTGTGTTCACATACATACAAGGGTCTGTTTCACAAGCTGACCGACCATAAGTCAAAATTCAGTTTTTTCAAAGACTAATGAAAAAAATTAATTGCCCATGTTGCTTTTCACAAAGAATTTTAAAGATGCATAAATTCTTTTTCAGGTTTATTCACCAAGCCACATGTAGCAAAGTGTTAATTGTGATTGCCTTTGTAATGATTTTTACTCTCACTGGTAACCGCTAGTGGTAACAGTTAGTAATGCATTTAGGTTTTAGCATTTAATGTGCTCCAATGGTTTGTAAAATTCTCTTAAGCTAGGTTTGGCTAGTTTTGCAAAGCTGACTTCATGTAAACAGCCATGTCATTTTAGCAGTTTTAGCTGAACATTAAAAATATCAACCCTTGACATGAAAAAGTCTGTAGGACTAAATACAATTAAATTGAAAAGCAACAAAATTAACACCTGAAGTCACACATTTAAAATGCAGGCAAGCAGTTTGCTGGCCATGCTGTTAGGCAGTGGGAGGGATAACAGAGGGAGAACACATGGACCACATTGACTTTCAGGCTTTTGAAAATACTTCTTTGTTTGTATGCAGTTTTAGATTTACCTCTCCAGATGTCAGTGTTTTTTAAGTAAGATGTGCAGCATAGCATATATTAAACTGCAGCTTCCTACAATTCAAATTTAACGTTTGTGGAATTAATAGCATATAATTTATTAATTATGCATTTCATTAAGTCAGCTAGAGGCTATATACAGCAGTATTATAATATACTATAGTTTTAAAATAGACAACAAAGTTGACTTTAATTAGTCATACTTAAAATTGTAAGATTGGTAAAACAAAGACCTTCGCCCATATGATGGTTTACACTTTATCAATTAAGTCAATCGCATTTTACAGAGGGTCAAGAGTGACCCATTGAGCCTGTCCCTTGGAGGATCAAAATATCCCGCAATGCAGTTCACTGTGACAAAATATCGACCATAGGAGACTGCTGTGAAGTGTCTTGTATAGAGGTAGTGAAATAAAACAGCGGGTCAACCTCTCTTATATAAATTCTTTGCCTTGCGCCTATTCGTGAAACTTAGGTTTCGGAATATGACACGATGGCCACATTACATCAGACAGTGGTGCATTTTGGAAAATCTGATAATTTTCATGCATTTACATTTGATTTAAAACATATACATGTACTACAATATAACTTTTACTGATTCACAATGGTAGAAAATGTTTATAGGTATGTTAAATGAACTCAAATATGCTTGGGCAATCTTTTTCTCTAAAGATGCTAGTTTACTGTAAGCACAAAACTGGTAAGGAAAAGCTGATTTTACCCAACAAGCAATGAATATGATGACTGAAATAAATACTTATGATATCAGACATGACAACTGGTGAAAAAAAATTATAGCTTAAAATAGGTATTTTGGATATGAAATGCACAAATCACCAAATTTTTCTTGCAACACATCCTTCCAATTTTTTTTTTTTATAAGAGTCATACGTCATTATAACCATTCTTGCTGATTTTTTCACACAATGAATGAACATCTGAATATCCAGGAAATTAATGAATGAACATTGTGTTATAATAGCTTCTCCTTCCTGAGTCAATATAGCACAGGGCTTCATGCAATGATGTGGTAAAGAGAATACACTCATTTGCTTCTAATTTAATATTTCACACATCGCATCACATCAACTCACTAGAAGTTAGAACAAGCAAATAAACAACACTATGATATATACAGCCACAATTGTCGCAATAAGTATATACTGCTTAAAATGCGGACAACACGTATAGTTAAGTACCCTATCAGTACAACAGTCACACGTACTCTAGAGACCAACTCGAAGTCATTTGCCCATTGCCCTAACACTGCCAGCTGCAAATACTGGTACATGTAAGAGTCTGAGTGAAGGGAAATAACAACGTAGACTGCACACAAGCCTACCTAAGTTTGGTTTCACGTCCTAAGCGCTTGAAAGGGCGCCCGGTTTCACGTCCAGACTGTACAGACTTTCGGACACATTTTCGCATGTGTTGGTGAGGTGCTGCTGCAGGGGAAGTGGGGAATGGCTCGCCGTTACTCTAAGCCCTCTTAGCGTGCTTCCCCTCGGCCAGGCGGTCTGATTACTTTAACTGACAGACGGCCTTGGCCTCTCAATATGACCTGATTATAGACTGAGGGCGCTAAGCAAAACAGTGAAATACACTCGCTGAACACTGGGTGACTCCAAATAATTCTATTCGGTTACAGCCAGTCATATTTAGTGTTCGCATTCGTTAAATCTTTCCAAATGTTGAATTTGGCTTTAACACTCAAGCTAACTCTTCTGCAAGCAAAAATCAACATCTAGTCATCTACTGGTAGCTGCACAAGGCCTATCGGCTCAACACGCTCACACTTTTCTGCCAAAAAGAAAATCAAATCAGTTAAAGGGATAATAACTGTTCGTTTTGGCCAAAAATGAATTTTCCTGGAGTTAAGAGCAATTTTCCCATACTTTATACCAATGGTTAACGAATCCATTTCTACATTCAAAGTTAGTCCCTTGTTTTTTTTTTTTTTTTTTGTAAAAAGTTTTTTTTTTTTTTTTTGTTATATCTCTTCAGAGATTATTACAGAGTATAGCCATCTATGGAGGTTACAAGGTCTGATGACAAGCTCAGATATCAGAATAATAGCTATAACTGCCGTTTTTGTGGTAAAACATACATATTTTCTATTTCTATGGATTGTTTACCGTGAAATATAGATCTCATACGAAGAGTTATTATCCCTTTAATTATGCTTAAACAAATTTTTATATTAAAATATATTTAAAAATTACATACATCAGTGGTGGATTTAGGGGGATCCCCCCCCCCTTTCGATTTCTGAAAAAAATCACACCAATGGTCCCCTCTTGAAGTTAGAATTTGACTAGCTGAATGTAGTTCTAAACCGTACCAAAGGCACCGTTCGACCTAGGGGAGGGGGAGGTCGGCTTCGCATCCGCGACCCCCCCCCCCCCCCCTTTAAATAATCTCGGATCCGCCCCTGTACATGTATGTACGTCATAAGGTCCCTAAATATAATATATAGTATATCGAATTGTAAACATCTAGCACACATTGTATTGTTTTCAGTATTAAGGTTGCAATTAAAAGTTATATCACGATATTTAACTTTACCAAGATCAGTAAAATGTCTTAACGATCGAGAAGAGGTGTTAGATTTACGCCTAAAACGATCTAAATTGCGGTTGTTGAGCTATGAATATGGAAGCACAGCTGCAGTGACCATGCAGTGGGTTAGTGCCAATGGACACATTCAGGGGGTATTGTTACCCTCTACCAGGGTGGCAGATATTATAGAGAAATTTTGAAAAAGTCAGAGAATGAATAACTGTCTATTTATCTAAAGACATATCTGTGAAAAATCCATCTGTCGCCCTGGTAGAGGGTAAGGTAAATAACTTGGACAATAAAGCGCTATGTAAAATAGAAAACAGTGCTGAAGTCTTAAAAGATTTTGAATTTGCAGGAGATCGAGTGATAAGAAACAACATTTGATGCCTTGCCATACAGTACCCACAATTTAACGGGGTTAAAATCTAGTGTTCATTTAAATTAATTAACAATTATACTTTGTCAACTCTACAAATTTTTGTGATAAAATCTTGTTCAGGGATGATGTTACGCCCCATACGGATTGCTATCTCACCTAGCTCAAAATACTGAGTAGGCCTACAGTGGCGGATTTAGGGCGGGGTGAGGGGATTCCTGACCCCCCCCCCCCCCCCCCCCCCCGCTGTCTTTT